AAAAGACAATTGGACTTCTCACCAAGAAAGTCCAGTTGCCTTTTGAAAAGCATTTTGGGTTATGAGAAGAAGCTTTTAATGATAAATGACTAAAATGGAGAAGGAAAGGGGAAGAAAGTTGCTAGATTAACGTTAGATAATTTACCAATCCAAGTAAGGCCATTGATCTTCTTTTACTTATTTAAACTGGACATTCATTTGGTCTGACTGTGGAAGTTTATAAATAATTTGAAACAAAGAGACAAACAAATAAATATACAAATAAATTGCTCAGAATAGAAGAAGGAGGATCAGTTACTTTATTTGGCCCCACTTTGACGGTAAGTGGTATTCTTCAAGATTTTATAAAAATCTGTATTTGATTGGTCTAATACAATGTTCTAGATATGGATTTTTTTTCCAGACATGGACAACTGCTTTCAATGTCCACAAGATCATTATCCAAATGAGGAGCAAAATTTTTGCATTATAAAATATGTAACTTTTTTGTCCTATGAAGAACCTTTGGGGATCACCTTCACCAGTTTTATTATTATTTTTTCCCTCATTACTATTTTAGTGCTCTGGCTGTTCATTAAACACAATGACACCCCTATTGTGAAAGCCAACAATGAGACACTCACCTACATTCTTCTCATCTCCCTCCTGCTCTCGTTTCTCTGTGCTTTACTATTTATTGGTCGGCCTCATCAATGGACATGTCTTCTTCGACAAGTTCTATTTGGCATTATCTTTTCCATATCAGTTTCTAGCATTTTGGCAAAGACTATCATTGTAATTCTTGCTTTCATGGCTACCAACCCAGGGTCCAGAATTAGAAAATGGATGGGGAAGAAACTGGGTGTTTCTATTATTTTTTCTTGCTCTTTTATTCAAACCATTATTTGTATTGTATGGCTATCAACCTCTCCCCCATTCCTATATGTTGACATGTATTCCATGCCAAAAGAAATTATATTGATGTGTAACGAAGGCTCAACTATCATGTTCTATTCGGTTCTTGGTTTTATGGGTTTCCTGGCAACTATCAGCTTCATAGTGGCTTTCCGGGTCAGGAAGTTACCTGACACATTTAATGAAGCCAAATTCATCACCTTCAGCATGCTGGTATTCAGCAGTGTTTGGTTCACTTTTCTTCCAACATACTTGAGCAAAAAAGGGAAATATATGGTGGCCATGGAGATTTTTTCCATTTTGTCCTCCAGTGGTGGACTACTGGCTTGTATTTTCTTCCCCAAATGTTATATTTTAATTGGAAAACCAGAACTGAACAGTAAGGAACAGCTAAGAAGAATAACAATGGAGTAATTGAAAATCTTCTGATTGTATTTCTAAATTAGTGATGAATAAACAACTTGTAATAAAGGGATACAATTTGCAAATACTTTTGTCATTGTTGATGTGGATTTTTTTAAAAAATGATGTTTTATAATTAAATGTCATAAAAAACTAATTTATTTATTTAGAAAATTTATATGGCCACCACTCACTCTCCATGAATCTGAAAGTTTACAAAAAATAAAAATAAAAACTCAATATACAACTATAAGAAAAATAGCCTCCCCCACCAGCAACAACCATCAGTCAAACAAGTCACTTGATGGGCTCCATGCTACTCTGGCTTCCTCAGGTCCATTGGCAAAACCATGTCTTCAGGGCTTTGAGAAAGAGTGTCAAAGTGAGGTGCAGTGTAATCTCCGTGGGTTCCAAAGGAAGGGACCTACCACAGAGAAGGCTCTTCTTCTGGGTCCCTCCAGGTGTATCTTGTCTCTTTTTGAGACACAAGACTCACAACATTCCCTGCCTCCCCACTCTGGTGGATCAGGTGAATGCAACTAATGCCTAATAAAGTATGAGAAAATAGAAAAAAATAAAAGTTCAGAAGCTATAGATAAATAAAAACAAATAAAATAAAAAGTAGAAGAAAAACAACAAAGGCAATAATAAAGCGCTTTCTAACCTTCATTCTACTGAGCATAAGCTTCTATAAGAACTTTTCACCCTCTGTTAAAGCTACTTTTTAATGTAGCTTGCATAAATATTGTGAAGTTCATCCACAAATCCTAACCAGACAAGGTGATTTTTATTCAATTTTTCTTACATCTGTGTTCAAACAAATGTATACTACAAAACAATGTTCACTAGATAAATTCAAGGTAGGAAATATCAGTAAGGTGAGTCTGAGTTTACAGTGGAATGTAGGAGTCACCACAAGAAAGCCAGTTTTTCAGCTCTAAATGTATAGTGACAAAATTTGAGGTAATCTTAGAAGATGACTCACCTTATGCTGATTTCTAAATATGATAGTAACATAAACAAACAATGACACATGTTTTAAAAACAATTTTATTTTCATGGAAAAAGATTTCTGTTATTCAGTTCTGACTGATTAGCCTATAATATTATGTCAAATGTTTCTCAATAAAAAGAAAAGGATAGATGGAAAGATGACATAAAAAGAAAAGGATAGATGGAAAGATGGGAGGGAGTGTGGGTGGGAAGAAGGAAGGAAGGAAGGAAGGAAGGAAGGAAGGAAGGAAGGAAGGAAGGAAGGAAGGAAGGAAGGAAGGAAGGAAATATTATTTTACATATATTCAAAAAGAACCCATAACTACTCAGTGGTATAGACTAATTCTAGGAAGATTACTTTTATAATATCTGCATTAATCTCCCTAATTCCATTATGCTTCTTTTATATTATTTCTCTAGCTTTTTAGAAGTGAGGTACTCTAATACAGTGATGGCAAACCTTTTAGACACTGAGTGCCCCAAAACTCGCCCCACCCCCCCACTCCACTCCTCCACCCTGCCCCCGCTCTGCTCCCCCATCCGCTGCCCCACCTGCCCACAGGACCACTCATCGCCTCCAGGGCCCACCGCAGATTGCCCAGGCAGCCCAGCAGCGCTATGGCAGCCACACGGCCACACCCTCTATACTCTGCAGGATGGGGTGTGAGAGCAAAGTCTTGTCTACGCTTCCTGGCTGCCATGTCCTTGGCTGAACTGCTCCATGTAGGCCACGCTCGAGGGTGACTCTCCTTCAGGGGGGCTGCTGGAGAAGAGGGGGTCACAGGGGAAGGCAAGGCTGGGGCAATGGCACGTGTGCCCACAGAGAGGGCTCTGAGTGCTGTCTCTGGCACCCATGCCAACGGTTCACCACCACTGCTCTAGCATTTTCAAAATGAAATATCTTTGAAATGATCCCATCAGCAATTTCATTTTATAAATAGCTAAATTATTATTTTCGATTTTTTAGGTCACAGTTGGTAATTTGTTTTCTTTCTTTATTCAAATCTGTCAAGGAATCTCAGCCACATAATAATTAATTTTAAATCTTTATTTGAAAACCAAATATATGTACATATGAGTATAGACTAAGGATCATATTGCTAATAAACTAAATGCAGACTAACAACAGCAAATGAATTCTACATGATGATAAATATCCTGGTGATTTTTTTAAAAAAGAAACTTAAATCCTGGCTATATTCTCCAATTCCTTGTAGACTTGCTTTTGCAGGGGTATCAAACTCGCCACGTCACATGATGTGTCGCAATGTATTATAAATTTTTTTTCCCATTGCTGGGAAAAGGACCTATGGGCTTTTTGCTAATCCAGGGAACATGGATGGAGATGGTTTTTGATCAAAGATGATGAATATATTTCTGTGATATCTCATAGAACCTGTGATCTTGAGTAGGTTATTTTTCTGGCAATTATCAAATTAACCCCAATTACTTTTGCTTTATCTCCAAGTCTTAAGGGAATTTCATTAACCACCAGGAAAAATAAAACATTAAGAAAAAAGCAGCTTGTCATTATTTGCTCTATAATATAAAAAAGCGATGTATATGCTGTATATATGATGGTGTTGCCCTTTAACGTATGTTAAGGGTGCTGTAAACCAACCAAGTGGTCATTCACGTTAGGCTGTGCTATTCAGCCAAGTATTTATTACAAGAAAAAAATTGGGCAAATGAAAGACTGAAAACAAGGAATTCCATCATGCAAATTAATGAAGCTTTCTGTATTGTATTAATGCTTTTGTCTGGAGTACTCTCAGAGGTTCCTAACATGAACTGCATTGTTAGTGATCCTGTTCCAATTCTTCATAAATACTATCAATCAGGAGATGTCATTGTTGCTGGTATTTTGTCTCAAATCTATATATTTTCAAACACAATACACTTTCACGAAAAGCCTTCTACTGACCTTTTCTATGATACTGAGTAAGATGCTCATGTATCTAAAACTAATTGTTCAAATATGGGTTTGCTGGATTAGTATTGGTTCTCTATTGTATTAACCCTTTTTCTGTGAAGACTGAAAATGTTTAAGAACATGTTGGATGTAAAAGTCAGTTCAGCAATGCTGAACTGGGAATAATGGTACTATTCAATCTCATTCATATAGATGAATTCATAATTCTGATATATCAGGAGTCCCCTATTCATTAAAAATTATTGGAGCAAATCAGTTTCATGATTAAATACATTTTAATTTAATGAAATGCCTGTATATGTGTGAACATAACAATCTTCCCAAATATTTTAAAATATCTTTCATCTGGTCATTTATACTCAGCTATAAAGTTGCACTGATTTCATTGTTTCTAAAATGAACATCAACAGATTGAATTTATTATTAATAATTTCCTGGAAATTTAATTATTCATAACAATACACTACTTATTTAATTCAGATTTTGTAAGACTTCTATAGCTAGGAGAAATGTTGTTTAGGCACAGTCTTGATTATGATGGCGATGATGATGATAATAAATATTAATTCATGAACTTAATTAAGGGGAAGGGGAGACAATAGCCAGGTGCAGGTGACCACTGAATCTATCACTGAATATAGAATATAGAATATAGATCTAATTGCAGCATGAAGCAGAAAGGTAATAATGATATTGAATTGTGTATTCTTGCATTCTTGGCAATTTTCTGACGTTAAACAATGTTTTTTTAAAGTAGTATCAATATTGGGTGGTAAAAATGGATTTAGATATATTTAACAACATTCATCAGCAACCATATGAGGGAAATTATGAGTATAGCATGTTAAAAGCTGTGAGGTGAGTGACAATGTCCTACATCTCTTTTTCTGAAATCAATTTACTAAAATCAATATGTAATTTTCATTTCAGAGTAGTGACTCAGCTCTACCTACACATTTTGTCTATGGCATTTGCTGTAAAGGAGATTAATGAAAATCTCCAGATTTTGTCCAATCTCACCCTAGGCCTTCATATCTATAACAGCAATTTTATTGCAAGCTGGACATACCATGCCTCAATGGAACTCTTCTCAACACAAGGCAAGCTAATCCCTAACTATAAGTGTGAAACAGAAAAAAATCTGGTGTCAGTCATTGGAGGACCCGATTCTGAAGTCTGTATCCACATGGCAGCCATCCTGTCCATTTACAAGATTCCACAAGTAAGCGTTGCCTCCCAGATTTTAATTCAATCTATATGTTTAGTTACTATCTATCATCTACATATCTATCTTACACTGAAATATGCACAGAGATAGTTTTGTTAACTGGAAATTAAAAATGACATTTGAATAAATAGTTTTATAGAAATAAGGAGAAGTATCATGTTTTTAAAGGACATTTCAAATACACGTTTCTTTCTTTTGAGCCAAATTGTATAACATTATGCCTTTCCTTTAAGTTCAGGATAAATTCTTTCCCTTTTGGAATCAATAGGATAGAATAAAATACAGCAGTTCCATTTTGCTTTAACTATAAATTGGTAATGAAAACCTCTGAAGAACATAAAAACAAAACAAACAAAAAAAAAGAAAACCTCTGAAGAACATAGATTTTCCTTTATTGAGAAATAAGCAAATCTGTAAAACATTGGGGGATATTTTTGTTTGGCCTTAAATGAAACAAAAATATTGCACTATTCCTTTAGAGTATGTGCAATGTTATACTAACTGAACTCCTTCCCATGGCTAAAGGTGGGACCTGAACTCATGATTTTCTGCTTTCTAGCATGATGCCTTCTAACATTTTTTTCTACATTTCTGTCATGTGATCTCATTGATTACATTCAAGCAATCACCACTGTAATATGCAATTGTTCCTGAGACTCTGTATGAGTAAATCACTTTCACTCTCTAATCTCTCTAACCCATCCATGGAGAAAAACATCTGTACCTAAATTGCAGTCATTCAAAATGTTGCTCAATTTTCCACAATATATATATATTTGGTTATTATATTATGACCATTCACTGGACTTTTCACTGATATATGAATTGCTTTTTGGCATAAATCAATAATACCCTCAATGACACTAATTTATATATTCTGATATATTCATTCATTACATTTATGCCTTAATTTCCACAAATGTATCTATTAACTGGGCAAAACTGTCATTCATCTTCACTTTTTTCTTTTATTGTGACAAATAATATATTTATTTAATGTATTTCAGATATTAATTCATGCTCTAATCTTTCATCATAAGTTGGTCTTATATTGACTCTTGTTGGATTTGGTTAATCAATGTATTTTTGGGGTGCTTGTTGTTTGAAATCATGATAAAATGCATTTGCATTGAAGATCACTATAATTAAGCATTTTTATTTGAGGATGTTTTCTAAAAACTTAAAAACACCTAATATTCTCCTATGGCTTATGTAATGATACAAACACCATGAGGAGATAAAATGCCCATTATTCATTCAAGGACTTTTTCAGTAATGTTATTCACTCATAGCAAAACATCTCTGCATGTTTAACCTATAGGACTTTCATAATCTTTTTTATGTAAAAAATAAATTGCATCTCAATCACATTCATGTAAAAATAAAAATAAATATTTATCTAGATATAAATACTCAAATATATTTTTCTTATTTTTATAGTTCACTTATGGTTCTGCTTCTGAGACGAATAGGAAAACTCAAGCTGTTTTCCAGCACCAGCTCTTTCCAGATGTACAAAGACAATATAATGGGATTCTTCAGTTACTGTTGCATTTCCAGTGGACATGGATTGGAGTAGTATATGACAATGATAATAATGGAGAGAGATTTATCCAGGATGCTCTTCCTATATTTTCTCAGAGAGGAATCTGTTTTGATTATATTGAAAAATTCCCAGTAATTACATCAGTTAGTGACATTGATAAGATGGTGACAGAGGGGTTAAACCTGTATGGTGTTGTAATTGGAAGTATTGCTAACGTATCCGTTATTTATGGTGAAATTGAGACCATGATATTTGTCAGACTGTTTCCCATTATATTGAAATATGAGGATGTAACAATACATGCAACAGGAAGGGTTTACGTTATGACAGCTCAGATGGATTTCACATCATTCTCCTTTCAAAAGAATGAAGACATAGACTTTCTTCATGGTGCCCTGTCCTTAGCAGTTCATTCAAAGGAGGTCCTGAGATTCACTGACTTTCTTCAGTTGACAAATGCTACCTTTAAAGGAGAAGATGGTTTCATTCAGGCTTTTTGGGAAGAAGCCTTTGGATGTTTCTTTCCTGAGTCCATGATAAAGAGGCAAGGAAGGGTCTCCTGCACTGGTGAGGAGAAACTGGAGAATCTCCCAGCATCTATTTTTGAAATGAGCATGACCTCCCATAGCTACAGCATCTACAATGCAGTCTATGCTGTGACTTATGTTTTGCACAACATGCTTTCATTTCAATCAAAAAAGAGTGTCCATGAAGCAACCCAAAGCCTACTGGCTCAACACCTGTGGAAGGTAAAGTCCTGGACAATCTAATTTCATTTAGGTCAATTTGGTTCATAGAAGAGATTCTAGACTAACTAGAAAAGACTTATACTTCCACATTTCTTAAGACCGTTTTGTAAAGTAGCTCAAGTGGTTTGAAACTTCAAAAATATGAGGGCTGAGTGGACGCTGGTTCACAAATGTGGCTGGCATCTTCAAAGGCAAGGTAATCTGCCTCATAACAGTTGCCACTGAAACAATCTGTTGTCTAAACCATGGCCCTAATTTTATTAGTTAATTAATTAAATTATATGTCCAATGTCACTATCTCAGGTGACTCTCAGTGGCTTAAAATAGTATAAAAGCATTAATATGTAAACATTAAAAGCATCAATGTTAAGATGAACAAATAAAAGGTGAAAACCGAGAGGAGAGATGGTACAGGAATGGACCTTTTTTTCTCATTCAATCAACCACCTTCAGCATAGCACACCCCCATACCACACACCCCTGAAACCAATTGCCAGAACCAGTTTTTAAGGTTCTTCTGGAAGGCCAGAACAGATCTAACTTCAGGAGGCATGATATTCAAAAGGACAGGGAAATGGCAGAGAAGGCTCTTTCCTTTGACCCCACTAGCTGAAATTCTTTAAATGACAGGATCCAGAGAAGAACTCTTCTGCCAGCATGAGTAAGGTGGGAAATCTCATTAGAGCAAGATGGTGTCTCATGGAATCTAGTCTCATATCATGAAGGATTTAAAGGTGATAAATCAACATCTTGAATTGGACCTGGAAGCCAACCAACAACCAATGCAGCTTTCCTAACAGCATGTTGCATGTGCCACCCTAGGGGCTCCAGCTAGTGGTGGGATTCAAACTACCAGTTCTCTGCATGGATGCAGGCCTCCCAGGCCTAGAATGGATTTCCAGAAGTGACATCCATGCATTTCTGGCAGGCTGTTCTAGGCCTGGGAGGCCTCCTCCAGGCCTCTGAAGCCTAGAGCAGACTTCTGGAAGGGACATCCATGCATTTCCAATGGATTGTTCTAGGCCTGGGAAGCCTCCTCCAGGCCTCCCAGGCCTAGAACGGACTTTTGGAAGCAGTGTGGGTTCAGCCAGTTCTCCAAATTCTACAAAATTTAGCTACCGCTTCTCGCGAACCAGTGTGAACTGGCTCAATCCACCACTGGCTCCAGCTATAGTTTCTGAATACTCTTCACAGATAGCCCCATAATAGTAATCCAAATGGAAGATTACTAAAGCATGAGTTTCCATTTAAGTTTTTTTCAGGTATAACAAAATAGATATAGGCAGAAAACAGGAATTAGAATGGTGTTCTAGAGAAAAAGGAGAAATATCTCCAAGGTCCCTTCCAACTTTACTACTATTACTACTAGGGTCTGACCATGACAGAGGGGATACTGACACAACTCCAACAAATCATATCCAGGGTATGACCACTATCCTGAGTCTACTATGAATGATCTGAGATAGGTCCATGACCTCCATGGTGACCATACACTCCCGAGACTCTTCCAATGTCATCCCCAAGGTCATAAGGCTGGGGAACCTCACCACTCACCCGAAATTGCCCTCCAAGAGCTATGGCATAAAGGTTGCTATGCAGCAGGGAGTCTGGTACAACAGAAAAAGTCCCAACTGATTCTATGAGCCCAGATTGAGGAACAGGATCTCACATTTGGAAACTCTGAAAGCAGAATAAATTTCTAGATGACAACTGCTCTCCCTCCCCTGCCCTGTGTATTTTGCTAGTGCCCAACCACAAACCCTGAAGCCCAACATGACCCAACAGATACCAGCCATGAAAGCTAGTATTGCTTCACAGATTGTCATGTGAACGCTATTCTCACAGTGTATAACATGCTTTTCCTAAATAGGATGCATTCCTATTTAACTCTTCTATAGTAGTTCTATAGAGATTGAAATTGTGATTCCAAGCAGCTTCAGTTTTGAATGAAGAAATCTATCCGAACAGCCATAGAAAGACATTGATGCAGCTTCATTTTATCCAATACTGTACTTCTGATAAGCTATTTGCCTGAGAGGTCCTATGAATTGACACTTAACTATATTGGCACAATTCACATCCAATTATGTATATGCATGAGCTTGCATAGCAACATGTATGAAGCAATCAAAACTTGAGGCCTTTTCAGAAAATGAATTTATTCATCCTAATTTCTCCTTTTTCTCTAGAACACCATTCTAATTCCTGTTTTCTGCCTATATCTATTTTGTTATACATGAAACAAACTTAAATGGAAAAGAGCAATGTCATTAAATATGTCCTGATATCTCCTCTCCTCTCTTCAGCTCAACCATTTTGTGAAAATCATCTCATTTAACAACAGTGTTGGGGAAACTGTTTACTTTAATCAAAATGGAGAAATGGAAACTGGATTTGATATTTTCAACTGGGTAACATTTCCAAACCTTTCATTCCTTAGAGTCAAAGTTGGAGACATACAACCCTTGTCTCAGACAGAAAAAACATTTACTATTTCAGAGGAATCCATAATTTGGCCAAAGTGGTTTAATCAGGTAGGTTCTGTAATTCTTTGTCCTATTCGAGAGTTGTAAAACTTGAAAAGCTTTTAAAGTAACTCTTCTTCAACTATCTCAGAAAATTGTCTGAAAATACAGAGAAAATGTAGAAAGAAATGTCATATAACAAGATATAGGAGAAAGAATCCAACAAAACATGAAATGTTCAAATATATCCTTTTACATAGAATATCAGTATGGAGGAATCATATATTTCAGGATCAGAATGCCATCTCTTCTTGCTTAATACACCCATTCAGGAATGTCAGGTTTATTAGATTGCATTTATCATACCATGGTTTGTCTCCAAAATAATGATTTAGATGTAATTGGAAGCTGTATTCATTTGAGTCATTATCTACAATTGAAGAATTTCTAATAATAAACTTGTTAGAGGAAAAAACAATATTAAACAAAATATCACCAAGGAATGCTAAAAAAATTAAAACATGACATTTAAATGGCATTCAATTCATGCTGACATATGTCAGATTACTTATTTTGTCTCTGACTCACTCACTCACTATCTATCACTCTCTATATGAACTTTTGGATGGACAGAAATAGAAATTAATAAATCATTTTCCCTAAAAGATTCTGCAATAAGTTATCATATATGAAATCCTTCTGAATAATTAACCTATGAAAGCACTTACCACTATAGTCATTTATAGATATGCACATTTGCAATATGAAAAATATTCTTCTCTTTCTTTAATTTTTAGGCAAAGCCTTTTTCTCTCTGCAATGACAATTGTCATCCAGGTTATAGGAAGGCCAAAAAGGAAGGGAAACCATTTTGCTGCTATGATTGCCTTCTTTGTCCAGGAGGAAAGATTTCTAATCAGAAAGGTAAGTGATAATTTCCCCTTTATGGATTACTGCCTTGTCGTGGCGAAGGGGCTTGCGTAACTCAATGAAGCTATAAGCTATGCCGTGCAGGGCCACCCAAGATGGACAGGTTATAGCAGAGAGTTCTGACAAAATGTGATCCACTGGAGAAGGAAATGGCAAACCACTCCAGTATCTCTGCCATGAAAACCCCATGGACAGTACTAAAAGAAAAAAAGATATGACGCTGGAAGATGAGCCCCTCAGGTCAGAAGGTGTCCAATATGCTACTGGGGAAGAGCAGAGGGCTAGTACTAGTAGCGCCAGAAAGAATGAAGCGACTGGGCCAAAGCCGAAAGGACGCTCAGCTGTGGATATATCTGGTGGTGAAAGGAAAGTCCGATGCTGTAAAGATTTTTTCTCCATAGGAACCTGGAATGTAAGATCCATGAATCAAGGCAAGCTAGACGTAGTCAAAAAAGAGATGACAAGACTGAACATCGACATCTTAGGAATCAGCGAACTAAAATGGACAGGAATGGGTGAATTTAACTCAGATGACCATCAGGTATACTACTGTGGGCAAGAATCCCTCAGAAGAAATGGAGTAGCCTTCATAGTCAATAAAAGAATAGGAAAAGCAATACTGGGATACAATCCCCAAAATGACAGAATGATCTCAATTCGAATCCAAGGCAAACCATTCAATATCACAGTAGTCCAAATCTATGCCCCAACCACTGGTGCTGAAGAGGATGAAATTGACCGGTTCTATGAAGCCCTACAGCACCTTATAGAATTAACACCAAAAAATGATGTCCTTATCATCATGGGGGATTGGAATGCTAAGGTAGGAAGCCAAAAGATAACCGGAATAACAGGCAAGTTTGGCCTTGGAGTACAAAATGAAGCAGGGCACAGGCTAATAGAATTTTGTCTAGAGAATACGATGGTCATAACAAACACTCTTTTCCAACAACCCAAGAGACGACTCTACACATGGACATCACCAGACGGTCAATATAGAAATCAGATTGACTATGTGCTCTGCAGCCAAAGATGGAGAAGCTCTATACAGTCAGTAAAAACAAGACCAGGAGCTGACTGTGGCTCAGATCATGAGCTTCTCGTTGCAAAATTTAGGCTTAAATTGAAAAAAGTAGGGAAAAGCACTAGGCCACTCAGGTATGAACTAAATCATATTCCTGATGAATATACAGTAGAGGTGACAAATAGATTTAAGGAATTAGATCTGATAGACAGAGTGCCTGAAGAACTATGGATGGAAGTTCGCAACATTGTACAAGAGGTAGCAACTAAAACCATCCCAAAGAAAAAGAAATGCAAGAAAGCAAAATGGCTGTCTGAGGAAGCTTTGCAAATAGCTGAGGAAAGAAGGGAAGCAAAAGGCAAAGGAGAAAGAGAAAGATACACCCAATTGAATGCAGAATTCCAGAGAGTAGCTAGAAGAGATAAGAATGCCTTCTTAAATGAACAGTGCAAAGAAATAGAAGAAAACAACAGAATAGGGAGGACCAGAGATCTCTTCAAGAAAACTGGAGATATGAAGGGAATGTTTCATGCAAAGATGGGCATGATAAAGGACCAAAATGGCAGAGACCTAACAGAGGCAGAAGAGATTAAGAAGAGATGGCAAAACTACACAGAAGAACTATACAAGAATGAGCTTAACATCCCAGATAACCACAATGAGATGGTCATTGACCTCGAACCAGACATCCTAGAATGTGAAGTGAAATGGGCCTTAGAAAATCTGAGCAACAACAAAGCTAGTGGAGGTGACAGTATTCCAGCTGAGCTATTCAAAATCTTAAAAGACGATGCAGTAAAAGTGCTACACTCAATTTGCCAGCAAATTTGGAAAACTCAACAGTGGCCACAGGATTGGAAAAGGTCAGTTTACATTCCAATTCCAAAGAAAGGCAATGCCAAAGAATGTTCAAACTATCGCACCATTGCACTCATTTCACATGCTAGTAAAGTTATGCTTAAAATCCTACAAGCTAGACTCCAGCAGTATGTGGATCGAGAACTACCAGAAGTACAGGCAGGATTTCGAAGAGGCAGAGGAACTAGAGATCAAATTGCCAACATACGCTGGATCATGGAGAAAGCTAGGGAGTTCCAGAAAAACATCTACTTCTGCTTCATTGACTATGCAAAAGCCTTTGATTGTGTGGATCACAACAAATTGTGGCAAGTTCTTAAAGAGATGGGAGTACCAGACCATCTCATTTGTCTCTTGAGAAACCTATATGCGGGTCAAGAAGCAACAGTGAGAACCGAACACGGAACCACTGATTGGTTCAAAATTGGAAAAGGAGTCCGGCAAGGCTGTATACTGTCGCCCTGCCTATTTAACTTATATGCAGAGCACATCATGAGAAAGGCAGGGCTAGATGAATCAAAAGTTGGAATTAAGATTGCCGGGAGAAATATCAACAACCTAAGATATGCAGATGATACCACTCTAATGGCAGAAAGTGAAGAGGAACTAAAGAGCCTCTTGATGCGGGTGAAGAAGGAGAGTGCAAAAGTTGGCTTGAAACTCAACATTAAGAAAACCAAAATCATGGCATCCGGCCCTCTCAATTCCTGGCAAATAGATGGGGAAGAAATGGAGGTAGTGACAGATTTTATTTTTCTGGGCTCCAAGATCACCTCAGATGGGGACTGCAGCCAAGAAATTAAAAGACGCTTGCTCCTGGGGAGGAAAGCTATGGCAAATCTAGACAGCATACTAAAAAGCAGAGACATCACCCTGCCAACAAAAGTGCGTATAGTCCAGGCCATGGTTTTCCCAGTTGCAATGTATGGCTGTGAAAGTTGGACCATAAGAAAGGCTGAGCGCAAAAGAATTGAGGCCTTTGAACTATGGTGCTGGAGAAGACTCCTGCGAGTCCCTTGGACTGCAAGGCGTTCAAACCGGTCAGTCCTAGAAGAGATCAACCCCGACTGCTCTTTAGAAGGCCAGATCCTGAAGTTGAAACTCAAGTACTTTGGCCACCTAATGAGAAGGAAGGACTCACTGGAGAAGAGCCTAATGCTGGGAAAGATTGAGGGCAATAGAAGAAGGGGACGACAGAGAATGAGATGGCTGGATGGAGTCACTGAAGCAGTAGGTGTGAATTTGAATGGACTCCAGAAGATGGTAGAGGACAGGAAGACCTGGAGGAACGTTGTCCATGGGGTCACGATGGGTCGGACACGACTTCACAAGTAACAACAACAACAAAGTGATAATTTGTAGAGGAATAGTTGTTCACTTGTCATCTGTGATTACAACTGCTGAAGTACTCAGGTTGATTGATTGATTCAATTTTTATAGACACTCAACCCAGTGACTCTGGAAGGCTTACAATTATAAAATTATAAAATAATTTAGGAAACATTAAAATAATAAAAACATCCACAAGATAAACAATACAAAGAGCAGCTGTGATGATTAAACAACTAATGGTAAACCCAAGTAACAGGGCAGCTAACAGGGCCCTTAATAAATTCCACATATATAGTCAAGTGTTTAAAGCTTTACAAGAAGCCAACCGTGTTGGCCCATTCTAATCTCTGAAAGGAGAATATTCCATTAGGGGCTACAGTAGAAAATCTTCTATTATCTGCCAGTCAACACTCTTTGGCTCATGGGATCTGTACCATGCTCAATCTGTTGGATCAAATTGGATAGGTAGAAACCCTTGGAAAAAGACAGCACTTCAAGTAACCCTATCCCAAGCCATATAGGGCTTTAAAGGTAACAACCAGAGCCTTAAATTGCACTGGGAAACACACTGGCAGTCAATAGAACTCAATGAGTAGTGGTCTCACATGTGCCATGTAGCTGGTGCCATTAATTGCCCACATAGTTGCATTTCGTACTGTTGAGGTTTCCGAATGCTCTCCAAGGGCAGTAGAGCACATTATAGTAATCTAAGCAGGAAGTTACAAGGGAATGGCTGATGGCAAGCAAGGTCCAGGAATGGATGCAACTGGCATACCACCCTTAGGTGTGCAAAGGCTTTCCTAATCACAGCTTCCACCTGCTAGTTGCCCATCAAGCGGTTGTGTACATATTTAAATAATTAATTAGATTTCATTATTTCAGTATCATTTTCATAAAAGTTGTTAGTAGAATAGAAGCCTGTTTTTTTTTTTCTCACAGACATGGACAATTGCTTTCAGTGTCCACAACATCATTATCCCAATGAGGAGCAAAATTTTTGCATTCTAAAATATGTAACTTTTTTGTCCTATGGAGAACCTTTGGGGATCACCTTCACCAGTTTTATTATTATTTTTTCTATCATTACTATTTTGGTGCTCTGGCTCTTCATTAAACACAATGACACCCCTATTGTGAAAGCCAACAATGAGACCCTCACCTACATTCTTCTCATCTCTCTCCTGCTTTCATTTCTTTGTACCTTGCTTTTTATTGGTTGGACTCATCAATGGACATGTCTTCTTCGGCAAGTTACTTTTGGTATCATCTTCTCTGTGGCAGTTTCTAGCATTTTGGCAAAGACTATCATTGTAATTCTAGCTTTCATGGCTACCAAGCCAGGGTCCAGAATTAGAAAATGGATGGGAAACAGACTGGCTGTTTCTATGGTTGTTTCTTGTTCCTTTATTCAAACCATTATTTGCATTGTATGGCTATCAACCTCTCCCCCATTCCTAGATGTTGACATGAATTCCGTGCCAAAGGAAATAGTATTGATTTGTAATGAAGGGTCAATCGTCATGTTCTACTGTGTCCTTGGTTTTATGGGTTTCTTGGCAACTATCAGCTTCATAGTGGCTTTCCTGGTCAGGAAATTACCTGACACATTTAATGAAGCCAAATTTATTACCTTTAGCATGTTGATATTTTGTAGCATCTGGCTATCATTTGTTCCAACATACTTGAGCACAAAGGGGAAATATATGGTAGCTGTTGAGATCTTTTCTATTTTGTGCTCCAGTGCGGGGTTGCTGGCTTTTATTGTTTTCCCAAAATGTTACATTATTGTGGTGAGGCCTGATTTAAATAACAAGGAACAGCTAAGAAGGGGAAGAATTTAAGAATTTAACATTAGGTGTAAATAAATAGATTGCATTAAAGATATTTAATTTTCAAATAAACTTCTTATATTTTATAAAGCTTGGTTTATGTGTTCTCATTATATAATCTCCTACTCTAAAACTGAAATCAAATAAAATTTGTTAATTACATGAAAGACATGTCAGCGTTGTTTGGTTCCTTTCAACCATCTATCTGAAAAAAAAATGATAACTCTTCTGTTATCAGTTGACAAGCATCAGCACTTAATCATCAGCTTATGTAGCATAAGTTTCACATGTCCTAAATGACTTGCACCCATAACTGTCCACCCACAACTGTCCAAGTGGCATGAGCTGAAAATGTTTATACTTCCCAAAGATATAGATAGCATTGCAGTAATTCATTGAGGAAGTGACTAAGGCATAAACGACCATGAGCACGGCCTCCCAGTCCAGGAATAGGCATAATTGCTACAAAACACAAAGCACAACTGCCACCTGCTCATCAAATAGGAGCCACAAGTCCAGGTGGATCCCCAGAGTGTGCATAGGTTGTGTCTGGAGCCATTCAGAACAAGAGATGGAAGATTCCCATAGCCAGAGAATCTAAAAACCTCCAAGTTTCAACCTCCACCTCTGAGAATTCAGTACTTAATTCTTTGGAAAGCATATGTCTGTATTGTACACAACTTTATTAACTTTACACATGGGTGACTAGGTGGATTATAATGTTGAAATATCGAAGCTCGCAAAAATGTTCTGAAGAGTCCTCAGCATTTTCTCCCCCAGGGAAGGCTTCAAGCCATGATTTTAAAAAGAATCCCACATTCCATTTTTCACAATCTATCTTCTAGATATGCCAGATTATGGCTATAACTACCATCATGGTATAGCTGTGATAATCTTATTTACTGTACATGCAATAAACATAATTCCTGTTTATTGCCAATCTACATCTCTTTCCAAATGAAATCATTACAATATATACTGCTGATCATTAGTTCATTTCAAAACTGTAGGTTCTTCAAAATGATTGACACCACTAGAAATTTTTTATTTTCATAATGCTCCAATATGCTTCTGCTTCATTTGTACATAGACACATTCTCTTTCTTTGCATAATACATTAACCTCCTTATGGTAATATATTGCCCAACTTTTTTGGCTCTAGATTGTCATCTATGGAGTTTCTCAGTCATCCATGTCATAGTTATCCCAAAGATGCTTTTTCATGAGGCAAGAAGCGGAAGAAGCTTCTTGGATGAGAAGTGAAACATCTTCAAAGCATCTTTAGGATAACAATAACTTTGATGACTGAGAATCTCCATAGACATTTAGCTATGCACTAAAAGCTGAAGAAGCTCCTTGGATGAGAAGTGAAATGTCTTCAAAGAAAAGCAAGAAAGTCCAGTTGCCTCATGAAAAAACATCTTTGGGATTCTAGATTGTTGACTACCAAGCCTAAAATGACAAAATGAATGGAGGAAGTGAGGTCCATTGCATTTTGCTGCTCTCTTTTGAAGCCACCATTTGTGCCTCATAGCTGATCACATTCCCATCATTCCCACATTTTTATAACTACTCAATGTCTCAGGAAATTGTAGCAGAATGCAAAGAAAGATTTAGGACCACATTTTATTGTGTTTTGGGCTTGCTTCATAGACTTTTTGGCCATTGTTGACTTCTTATCTGCTTTTCTAGCCAGGAAATTACCTGATAGTTTCAACATATCTAAATTCATCACCCACAACATGTCTTTGTTCTGCAGTGTTTGGTTTTCCTTTATTTCAGCCTACTTTATCATTGTGTTTGGACCTGAACTAAGCAAGAAGCATTTACTAATGAAAAGAAAGTACTGAAAACTAAAAGGAAGAAACTGAAACTTCATAGTCATATTGAGAAAGGTTTTTAATATCATGAGGAAATTTTAGGCTGATGGTAACCAAAGAGAAACTCTATTCACAGATTTAGCCAGAGTCTTTTTTATTTTCTTTGGATTTCAGCTCAGCTAGATAGAACTGAGAAGATCATTGGGATCTTGTTTACTTTCAGAAAGGCTGAAAGCATCTTGTTAAGGATGCTTCACTAGGAAGGGTGACCTTCCTCACTTCTAAGAATGAAATAGAAGATAACTATTGCATCATCTTGTCTCTTCAATTGCCTCATGTTTGTCACATTTCAGAGTTTGAAATATTCTGGTTCCCCCTGCCTCAAATAACACAGAGTTCCAAATACAACTTTAATACCATTTAAAAATATGTAACATGAAAGTAAGTTTCTCACTTAGCATCTATTATTTGGATTATTTTTTATGGGAACCAACTTTTTATCTTTGTTCTTCCTTAGTCCATGCACAAAAACTGGCATTTGCTAAGGTAGAATAAACATGTTTTTTCTTTGATACATTTTTGCAAAATGTCTTATGCTAATCATAAGAAACATAATCATGATGTTTCTTGTCATTATTGAATTAACATCAAATTTAGTTCTCTCCTTGTCTCAAGAGAACTACCATAACCATCAAAACCAAATCAGAACTGAACTGTGTGCAATTCACAGTTAGACTTGGAGATATTGATACAATAAACATTTCTATGAGATCTGAGAGAATGTGTAATTATAAACAAATGAATTCAGGTAATTATCCAATTAATCCCAATTATTTCTGCTTCTTTTACAAGTCCCTGGGCAAGTGAGATATGTTAAACCAAATTGTAATCAAAGACAAAGGTGTACCATTCTGATCTGGATTGGAAGAAACATTTTCTATTAAAAATGCTTATTTGACTATAAAAGCCACATAAACCAGCAGAGTAGCCTTTCAAATGAGGGTATGCTATTTAGCAAAGAATTCAATAAGGGATAATGTGAAGTCAAAGAAAGTGATACAAAAAAGGAATTATGTCATGCAAGTTTTCTATCCTGGTGATAATGGTTTTGCCTGGTGTGCTCTGCAAAATTCCTCACTTGAATTGCATCACCAGTGATCCTCTTCTGATTCTTCATAAATACCATCAGTTAGGAGATATCATCATTGGTGGAATTATGTCTCAGATCTACATATTTTCAAATACAATAACCTTTCAGGAACAACCTTCTACTGACCTTTTTTATAAAAATGAGTAAGAGGCATATAAAATATATTAGAGAAAGTTTTGCTCTGTTCTGCCCGAACCTTCTTTTGCTAATCTTTCCTTCTACCATGTCTCTCTTATAAAGGCACAGATTGACTATCCAAGTCTCCATTCATAAACATTGCAATTGTTTAAGAATGTTTGGATTATGAGATTCAACCAAACATTTTGATGTAAAATTATGTGCAGTCTCACCATGTACATACAGTGTGATTAAGTTCATATTTGGGTATTTGTGGTTTGGATGGTGAATTTCTCTGCTCATTCTCAGGTATGGTTTAAAATGCTTTATATGTATGTAGCTGCTGAACGTTAATGAGAACTCAGGGTCTTCTTGAACCATGAGATCAGTGGCAAATAAATTTGATAAATAAATAAAATGAAAGCTATATGAATCAATATTTCTTTTATAGCTATTTAAATTGGATAAAATGACTACATGATACTTATGAGTCAGAAATGTTATTGCTTTGTAATATATGCCATCTTTTGAACAAACTCATTTCAAGTCAGCCTCTACACTTCATTTCAGGGTGGTGACTCAGCTCTACCAACACATTTTGTCTTTGGCATTTGCTGTAAAGGAGATCAATGAAAATCCTCAGATTTTGCCCAATTTCACTCTGGGCTTCCATATCTACAACAGTCATTTTATTGCAAGCTGGACGTATCATGCCTCAATGGAACTCTTCTCAACCCAAGGCAACTTCACCCCTAACTATAAGTGTGATACAAAAAACAATCCAGTATCAGTCATTGGAGGACCTAATTCAGAAATATTTATCAACATGGAAGCTATCCTGTCAATTTACAAGGTTCCACAAGTACAATATTTCTTCTCTTTTTAAACTTTATTTTCATACGCCATCGTTCATGAAGACACACATACCTATTTTTGGTGTTAATATAAGTTGTCATCCAAATAAGCATTCTAATTAAAATAATGAAACTTTGATTTTTTTAAAGCAATAAGCAAGTATTTATTAAAATATTTGCATATTAAAAATAGTTCAAAAGGAATAAAACATGATACCAAAAAATCCCTTAGTAGGGGCAGTCTAGAGCTTTTCTGTTTTAGCTCATAGTCTGATCAAAGCAAGATTAGTCCCTAATATTGGCTAACATGGCAAAACCAGAAATAACTTTAACTTGATCTCTAGGATTTCTCTGTAGGAAAAATGCATGTAATTTGATTATTTTAGGACAGAACTAAGTGATACAGACAGACAAGATTGCCACACCTTTATATATCAATTATTCTAATCTTAGAATAATTGATATATAAAGGTTTGAAAAAGATATAGAAATTATCCCTCTCCTGTGGAATGTTGTCTAAGGGTAGATGGAACCATGGTTTGATGAAACTAGCTAATTTATAAAAACAACCAGCAAGAGGAATATTATTTATAATCAGGATAAAACAACACTATTTAAAGATTTCTTGTTATTACAACATGCTGTACAAGCTAATGTTTGCTTATAGTAAATGTAAACTGAGTTATACCATGGCCAAAGAAGGTGGTCTTTGCTTATTCAGGCACAAAATCAGTGTCCATTCATTGATGCAACAATATTAACAAAAAACCATACCAGCTGAAGCATAATTCTTAACCTGATTTAGATAGACATTTTTCAACTTCTCCATATAGGGTTGAGAGAGAGCATCCAAATTTTTATCTGTTTTTATCTAAAGCAGAATTAAATTGCCATCCATAAAAGAGTATTTTGGCTTAAATGTTTGCAGTTTGACATTTTTGTAAGCTTTATACTGATTATTGATTGATTGATTGATTGATTGATTCCATATCTTCAAGTGATTCTTGACCTTTGGCAACTTTCTGGATAACTCCATACAGTTTTCTTGGCAAGTCTTTTCAAAGTAGTTTA